TTTTTCTTGCTGTCCTGAGTTGCATGTAATAGAACACATTACTCAGACTAGTAAAGGGAACTTAATGGCTTTATGGAAGCAAAATCTCAGTCCTCAACTAGGTCACCAAGCGCTTGCATTCTCTCTCAGCTCATCAGGGTGGGCTGAGTCTAAAACCGGCTTTATTCTTAGAGTTGGGGTGAAAGCTGCTCCTGGTATAGGCCACCAAGCAACACGAAGGGGAATAGGGAGTGGATGGTGAGGAGACCAGCAAACATTTATGAGATCCTCCAAATGGCAGCCCGAAGGCAGGTTCTAGGGTACAGCAGTGAGTTACATATGACTCCTAACCTTCCGAGGCTTCCGAAAAGTGTATTAGGAAACCATGGTTATTTTTACTCCTTTGGGAGCAGCAGAGAAGGGGCACCCACTGCCCTGGGGTAGGGAGGGCAGGAGAACCTCAAGAATAAATATGATCTGCTCAGCCAGTGTGGCTCAGTGGTTGAGCATCGACCCTTTAACCAAGAGGTCACTGGTTCAATTCTGGGCCAGGGCATATGCCTGGGTTGCAGGCTCAATCCCAAGCAGGGGGTGTGCAGGAGGCAGCCGATTGATATTGATGTTTCTCTTTCACTGATGTTTCTATCTCTCTTTCCCAAATCAATAAAAACTTCTTTTTAATAAAAAGAACAAATCGAATCTGAGCAGAATGTTGGACAGGCCCTGTGACGAAGCGGGTCAAAGTATGCTGGGCCACAGAAGTAGAGGGAAAGTCTGGAGCTGTCAGAGAGCCTGGCTGCTTCAGGACATGGTCAGGGGAGAGGGAGCCTGCAGGAAAGCATGCTGAGATGGGAGGGAAGAGGGGTTGGAAGGGCAAGGCCAAGCGTTGAAGGGCATTGTATGTGCAGTTTTGGAGTTAGAACTTCATCCTGGAGGCAAGGAAGAACACAGAAGGACATAAAACTGGACTTGGGAAAATTCTAGCTTAGGGCTTATCTTAAGAAACGGGAATCCACTGGGTACACGTGGGTGGGCTTCAGGTTATAGTTCTTATGGCCTTTGAGGAGGTGAAGGTCTAGTGATCTCCCCCAGTCTTCAACAAGGTCCGTAATCACAAATGGTGAAGAATAATTGCTTACGACGCTGTGTGGCCAGTTGCTGAGGGCCATTCTAAAGGCTGGTTTATTAGTCCAACAGCCAACTGGGGAATATCTGAAAGGCAGGGCAGAAGTGATTCATTCATTCATGCCTTTTATCCATATATATATACTGAGTGGCCAGATTATTATGACCACCCCATCAGTACTTCGTTGGGCCACCTTTTGCCTTCAATACTGCGGCGATTCTTCTTGGCATTGACTCCACGAGATGTTAAAAGGTGATGCGAGGAATCTGACACCATGCCTGATGAATAGCACTGTCCAGTCTGTGAGATTTGATGGTTGTGGAACCAGCTGCCTGATGGCTCTTTTAACTTCGTCCCACAAATTCTCAATTGGATTGAGATCTGGTGATTGTGGGGGCCACCTAAGCAAGGTAAAGTCTTCCTCATGTTCTTGAAACCACTCCTGCACAATATGAGCACCATGGCATGGCGCATTGTCTTGTTGGAAGAAGCCATCTCCATTGGGATATGCCATCAACATGACAGGATGAACCTGATCAGCAAGGTTACTTAGGTATATTGTGCTATTCAGACATTGTTCCACATGAATTAAAGGGCCCAAATCATGCCAGGAAAACATGCCCCAAACCATAACACTGCCCCCACCAGCTTGAAGGGTTGTACTCATGCATGTGGGGTACATGCTTTCATAATGTTTCTGCCAAATTCTCACTCTGCCATCTGCATGATGCAACTGGAAACGTGATTCATCGGACCACATGACCTCTTTCCAATGCTTGACTGTCCAATCCTTGTGTTCCTGTGCGAATTGGATACCTTTTATCTTGGTAACTGCAGACAGCAAAGTGTTGAACAGGCCTTCGGCTTCCATATTCCATATGATGCAGTGTATGGCTAATTTGCCTACAAATGTCTGGTGGTCATAATAATCTGGCCACTCAGTGTATATACTAACTGTGTACCAGGCAGGGTGCTACAGTCTAAAGATACAATGTTGAGCAAGATAAACATGGTTCCCCGAGCTCACAACTAAGGAGATAAGAGACATAAGTAGATCATCAATTATAATACACTGATGGATGAACAGGGGTTGCAGGATTAGGGCAAGGGTGGAAAAGATGAGAGAGGGAACGGAGTGTGCATAAAGACTGGCCAAATTTGCACATGAGCACAGAGCAGTGGTTCTCAACCAGGGGCAATTCCCCCCACCACTCCCAGGGCACATTTGGCAATGTCTAGAGATGTTTTTGATAGTCAAGAGTGAAGGTTGGGGGGTGAGGGTGCTACTAGCTTCAAGGAGCTGCTAAGCACCCTTTAATGCATAGGACAGCCCCCGCCCCCAATAATTATCCAGTTTAAAATACTGATAGTGCTGCTGTTGTAAAACTCTGGCATGGAGATAGTGGATTCTAGAGATACTGAGTGATTAGACTTGGTAGACCTGTAGGATTAACTAGTTAGGGCTGAAGGGGGCAGGGGTGTGTGGGATGGGAGTTAAATTCAAAATGATTCCCAACTGTCTGGCTTTATGAGTGGTGGTACCAATCACGAAGTCAGTTTTGGACAAGAAGTTTCAGGCATGTTTAGGGCACAATCAAAATGTCCTTCCTGCCCCCATGTCTCTCATCTTGAAGTTGTAGAGAGCATCATCTACACCTGCTGTCTCTATGTCTCCTTACCTCGAGCTCATTCCTCCACCCACTGCGGTCCGACTTTATTCAGGGGGCAGACTCTGTGGGTCTCCTTTCCCAATAGCCACCCCCTCTCTTTTCCTCTTTGGTGATACCCTTCACCTTTCCCTATGGCCATGTGCCCAGAAAGGAGGCTGCCACAGCCCTAGGGCGAAGTGTCTTATTAGCCCACACCAGTCACAGTGAAGCCAGTACCCTTGCCAGTGATTGGCTTAGGAAGAGGCATGTGACTCATTCATGACCAATGGGAGTGAGGGGAAGGTGGAGGTAGCTATGGGGGGTAAGGGGGCAGGATAAAAGTTTCTCTGAAAGTTTTATCCCCCCTCCCAACGACAAAGGACACGCACAGGGAGATGCTGCTTCACCTGCCTTTTAAT